GTTTAAAAAAAAATAGGAAAGAATTAATAAAAACTCCAATCAAAAACGTTTTTTAAAAGTAATTCGAAAACTATAATTGGATCACGTCGGGGTTACCAATGTTTGAAGTTTTTATTAATTCTTTTCTATCTTTTTCAAACTAAATCATCTTAACGTAAACATCTCCTAGCAACACCTAGCATACTCCATTTTAAGGAAATTGTAGGGCACTACAAGGATATTCCAAACTGTTTACGAACGTTCCAGAATGTTACAGGATGGTATGGAATGTTATGGATTGATTTCGAAATGTCCTGGACCGTTGAAGAAGTTCCTAGATGACGGATATTCCAACTGTATTTTATTCCAAAAGCACGTCCTTCAGGTAAACACCGAATAACTTTCATGGGCGTGGTAGTCATCTACTACCACGATATTTAACTTCCTCCATCATTCTAGAATGGGCAATAACGTTCCGCGATGTTTTGAAATGTTCCAGACTAGTACGTTCCGAGATGCTCTGAAATGTTTTGGAATGCTTTAAAACCCTTCAAAATTTTCTAGAGAGCAAACCTTCCAGCTGTTATATCTTCAATCGCACATCCTTCAGGGAATAGAAAGCTATCACACAATATAATTAACTATTTTTATCGTTACAGAACATTCCAGGATGTAGTCAATAGCGGTGGAAGCTTTCGAATAATCTCGAATGATCGGAATTGTTCTATAACTTTCTAAAGGACCGTTATATATTCAAAAGCACACCTCTGAGGTGAAAAATGAAATCTTCTGCCGATGTGTCAGGTCGCTAGTGAGAGATAAATCAAAACATTGTACCAAGAATATTTCATTTCCATTTCATAAGCAATTTTCAAACTTCCCGGCAAGAAAAAATGTTAATTTTCAACAATGAACTTTTGACAAGATTGGGTATCTGTAACTGTTGAGCTTACGGTAATATAGTCCATGGAAGTGTTACATTTTTTAGGCCTTAATGTACGGTATTGTCATGGACACAATTTTATTTTTTGATATGTAGGGGGGTTAGTATAAGCTTAAGTTGAAGTTTGCGGGGTCGCAACCCTTGTCCCCGGCCGCCATCTTGGAAAATGAGGTGCAAAGGGTTTTAGAGCTGTGTTTCGTAAACTATCAACCCTACAGAAATAAAATGGAAATTAAAAAAAAATTATAAACAAAAATAACTGAACATTTTTAAATAAATTTCCTTCGAAGCGTTATAACTTATTTTCTGGTCATTTTACAATAAAATGACATCGGAAAAATCCTATATAGGATTTTTTAACGAATGATTTTCATTAATTCATCTAGGTTTGCAGCGCTCTGAAGTTGACCGGGTTGTTCAATACGATAAGAATGCGATAAAAACGCACCAATATGTTTATTTTCTATTATATATTTTTTATTCATATGATTTGTCATTGTCAAGACTCCTGTTGTCATCAGTTTATTATCGACCATGTTACCTACCATCTATTGTTACGTTTCAATTTAGCACTAGATCAAAACTGCTCCTATGTAACCTTTCAAAACACTACCTCACCTTTTAAGATCTTTATTCAGAGGATATTAACAATGTAATTCAGTTACAAGTTGATTTTACTCATTTAATATTTATGATGTTGTGCACAGCGCCCCCTTGGTGCTTGTAGTGTAGATTGGACGCACTATGGCAACAACTGGTTAGCTGTCAGATGTGACAGTCTCTTGGATTTCGGGAGTTGACCTTCGATGAGCTTGGTTGAGAGTTCAAGTGTACCATCAGACTGATTGTAAGATATATATGGTTGTATTTGTGCCATCCTTCACGGGGATTATTTCTAAAAGTCAGGATTGTATAGTGGAAGACTGATTGGTCATTGTGGTATGGATATTTGCAATCTGAAACTTAAACTCTTTTGAGGATTTGTGATGGTTACCGAACTCATTGTGCCAAGTGGAAGGTTTTCCGAAATCAGACATATCTGAATTACTATCGCATCTCTCATATGGTCTCAGCTATGATATCATCTCTTCAATTCTACAACCTTCGTTAATCGTCTCTAGATTCATAAGAAACAGAAGGCCCTTAGTCACTCATCAAGTCCCAGTAGGACTTCCGTGCAGAGCACCGCACACGAAGAAACGTATAGAAAACCCCTTGGCCAGGGTAAGAATTTTACCATTAAATGTGTTTTAAATGATTTCAGTAATTTTTAATCCCAGCGTTGTCATTCAAGTGAATATCAGTTTTGAAGAGAGGTTTCAACACTCATTCAATTTTCTTGATTTTTTTTACGGGTTATATGGTTATACAGGGCACCCAAAAATATACTCTTGTTATCTTGCTAATTTGCTTGATGAAAATATACCAGGGGTATCGATTAGTCAACTAGTCCCTATTGAATGGGGGTTGAATCTCACTTTGTTTTTATCTGATTCTGATTGAGAATTTTCTTTCGTAGGGTTTTTTTTATTTATCTTTTTGGGTCTTATTTGGTGATCCATTACTGGTCCAGCTTATTGTGCCCTACAGGGTGACCTATCTTGGTGGTGCTACAGGGTGATCCATCTCCGCCGTACAACAGGGTGATCCACTTCCGTCGGACCACGGGGTAGCCTAACACCATATACCGGGTGGCCCAAAAGGAGCACTCAAGTTATAATTGATTTATTTGAATATTGGTGGCATACTCAGTTATTTGAATAATTGTTTGCCCTTATGTTTATTGATACCTGTTTGATTATTTATACCTGATTGATATAGTGATGCATTTGTGAAACGGAAATTGAGGTATTTTCTTCCTTTCACGATTGCTTGTTGACACCGATGCGCCTACGCCTGAGCTCTCGCGACGCAAACGAGATTGTCTTACCTACCGATACTAGTATTTACGATTTCACCTACTCAATTTTCGTAGTAGTTTTACTTGACGTATTGTAGTTTTTTTGAGCGTCGTTACTACCGTAATTTATGGCTGATTGGATTCGTGATTATATACACCGCGCTCTTGTATTGATATTTTTGAACATCGCGTAGTAGTGTGAATATTGCATTATTGTCTTAGAAGCGTTGTCGGATAATCCAAGTAAGTTGCGTTTACTGAATAAATCATATTGGGGATCTTTATCTTTTATTTCCAATATTAATTGGTAAGTTATTGATATTGTGAGTTACTTAGGGTATCTGGAGGATTAAATTTACCTGGCGCCCATTAAGATCTATTTGAAATTTGCTAAGTTATTTAACCCACTCCCGTCTCCACTGTTTAGCTTAGCCGCGGAAACCCATCTGTCTCCTCTTGTGGTTTGTGAGGTGACACTATAAACAATTTCCAGGCGAGATAATATTGAGCATAATTGTATATTTAAAAAATTTGTTTTCCAGCTATTGTTTTTTCATTTTCTTTGATGGTCAAGGCTGGAAATGCGTCGCACGGAGAAGCATTAATCGGCAGAGATAAAGTTTGATAAGAGCACCGTACCAACATTATTCCGCCAAACGGTCATCTTCCGCTAAAACCAATTAAGCGAAGAGAGAGGGAAGAGGGGATAGGTAAAAGCACTTGAATGACCTATAAATACTCAGATTTTGAAGGAATAAGTCCTAACTGGACTTATTATCACCCGAAGACAATTGTGGATACCAACAATCGAAACGTCGTGACGTAACTTGGTTTTTTTTCAGCAGGTAGTATATTAATGAAAAATGTTTGATCATTAATGAAAAATATCAACATTCATAAGGATTTCTTTTATTTTTGACGCTCATTTTTTTTCAGAAAATAATTTTTGTCTTTGAATAAAATTTTGTTCATCAAATTTATAATATGTTCTTAGCTAATATAATTATGCATTCAACTCTGAAATTTTGTCCCCAAATAGTATTTGTTGCCAAATATCGAATTCTTGCGAATTGAAGTGAACTTACTCAGATTTTGAAAATGAAATGCCGGTACCCACGATAAAAAAGATAATATCTCAACTTCGGAATCAGTATCAGCACTAGTGATAGAAATTCGATATACATTATTATGGCAATTATCAATAGTCTGGGACTAGATATTGATAAATATAATTAGAGTTAATCCACCATTTGCAGTACGCGTATTTCAGAAAGGAACAAATTTGTTGACACAATAAAAAAAGATATCCATGAGTCTTACGTAGTTCCTTGGGATGTAAAGGTGCTTCCTACGAAAGATGTTAAAGCAGGAGCAGAACGGCTACCGAAACTTATTTCAGGAATAAATACTGAGACATTTTTGAAGGCATCGTTTTAACCTAATGGCAAGGGAATACGCCAAGCTCCAGTCATTCTCTGAACTGTGACTGATAGGAACCTTTGTCATGAAATAAAAGCGATGTGCTTTGATACAAGTAGTTCAAGTACTGGTAATATATTGGGAAATAAAGGTTTTGGCTTTCTATTTGTCCATCTTGATTCAAAAAATGTGGGAATCTTCCAAAGAAAGAAAGGAAGCAATCAATTTCAAAAATTAACTCTATACAACGAATTGAGAGTTTTTTTTCATAAAATAACCCGTATTTGGTACTGAAGAGCCGATAAGACAACTGTCTTACGGCGAAACATCGATTCAGGCCAGATGTGTGGTGAGTGAACACGTTCATTTGAGAGCTCCCGATTTGAGTGTCAAATCACCAAAAGTAAGTTCTTTAATTGTTTAATAATTGACCAGATCAAAGTTAAATAAGTTGAGACTTGAAAAACAGTTCAACTATATGAAAAATGGTTATTACCCGAGAAATAAAGGAAGAAATCAAAAATGATGTAAGTAGCAGCCTGAGTTCAATTTTAACAGAGGATTTGGATTCGTTGATTGACTGTTGAGGTGTTTGCATCGTGCTGTCTACCCAGGAGTTTTTGCGACGAAGTTAGATTCAGGTGTGCTCATTTCCTACTAATTTTTCACATTTTCTCAATCTAAAATTTCATTCTCTATAAACGTAAAAGAAAAAAACATTTTCTTAGTTTGAGTTTATTTATAATCATGAGTGTTGATTCGGGTGGCGGTTCCCCGCCACCCACAAAAAAATCGTTTTTGCCGGATGATAAAAACTTGAACTATGAAGAGGATCAGGAAAATATTACTTAGGACGAACTTAATGATAGGGAAGTTGAGGAAATAATGAGTTTTAGTAACTCAAGGGCAACTCATTCATCAGATAAGGAAACAGAGGACGATTATAATGAAGAAAAAAGAGAAATTATTCTTTACAAAGAAAACGACCTTGGACCTTATCTGGTGATAGTAGAGGCCAACGAGACCTCAGGCAACAATATTGGTCAATTCAACCACCTAAAGATAGCAAAAGACATAAGTGATTTGAAACTTAATCATATTATTAGAATTAAAAACAAGGGAAGAAATAAGATAGGGATTGAATTTAACAATAGGCATGCAGCCAATGATTTTGTTACAAACAAAGATTTAATTGAGCAAGGTTATCAAACATTCATTCCGTATAATAGAGTAACATGTAAGGGAATTATTAGAGGAATCTCAGAGGGTATTCACGAGGAGTATTTAAAAAAATTAATCAAAAGTCCATATAAAGTTTTAGGTGTCAAGAGAATGAACAGGAAAGTGGTAAAAGGGGACAAAATAGAATATCATGCAACTGGTACTATTCAAATTACTTTTGAAGACATTAATCTCCCCAAACATGTAGAAATCTGCTACATGAGCTTTAGCATTATTCCTTTCATTCCGCCAGTCACCCATTGTTTTAATTGCCTCATGTACGGACATACTAAAAAGAACTGTAAGGGAAAACGCAGATGTCACAGCTGCACAGAACAACACGAGGATGAGGAGGATCAATCTGTAAAATGTTTCAATTGTAAAAGTGAATATCACAAAACTCTCAGTAAAGAATGTCCGGAATTTGACAGGCAGAAAAAAATCAGAGAAAAAATGAGTCTAGAAAACCTCTCTTTTCATGAAGCCATTCAATTCTTTCCAAAAAATAACCACTTTAATACTAACAATATAACTGAATTCCCTACCCTAAGAAATAGATCAGAACCTCCCCCAAACAACATAATTACTACTTCCCAAAGAAGACATATCTACCATACAAACACAATTAATAAAAGAACCTTTTCTCAAACAATCAAAACTTCCAAACCTGTCCACAGTAATAATGAGATGCAAAACTTAAACGAATACCTACTATATCCAAATGGACAAATACCACAACCCAAAACAGGAGTCATGCTCAACAGGACTGCTAACACAAAAGCGGGAACATCTCAATCTACTTTTAATGTTTTACATCATCCGAACGAGGAATATAATATTATTAAAAAAATGAAAGATTTACTTTCGGGACTTCCCGAAAGTATTAAACCAAAAATAATTAGTTTATTAAACACGTATGAATGGTTGAAAAATTCCCAACATCCTGACGAAACGAGTCAGGATGAANAGGTAAGACCTCGTTGATTCTTAGCTCGCACAAGTTCCGACTTCTGAGGCTAAACGGATTATAATACTACGGGAGTATAAAATATACATAACACGCACGAATAAATATTATAAGTACATAAATACGACTCTTCAAAAACTATTATTACTCATATACTGAGTGTTGCATTAAAACAACTAAGGATTTTTATGGGGCGTCCATTTATGCATAAGACACTTAATTTCCCAGTCCTTTTCTCATCATTACTTGAAAATAACGAGTTTTAAAATTAATTTACCCTGGAAAGAGGTCTACAATTTATTCATGAACAACGACTGACTAAATTCATCCGCGTCAGTGATCTGTAACCCTGAAATTGTGAATATAAAATTCATAAGAGTCTAACAAATTTTAATACCTGGCGTTTCGTCTGCTACTGCGGCTGACATAATCAAAGGCGATGCGACAACATTGACAATTTGTTAGACACACACCATGTTCATAAGGTGGTTGAAACTGTCACTAAAGAGAATACCTGCATTTCCACAACAAAAACTTTTATCCCAGGTATGGCCGATAAAAGTTTTAATTAAATGAAATTGTTAGTATTCAAATATTGTACTTTTGCTCAACATTGTGGTAAGATATTACATTGGCAACCTCAAAAGTTCATTATTATGAATTATTTACACTACAATGGGTTTTTCAAAAGTATGGAAACGGTGGAATAAGGAATACATTCTAGAAAAAAAATTCAGAAAAAGTTGAGGAGTTAATGACATTGACCTTGGCCCTGAAAGCCATTTTGACCTTGATATGACCATCGGCGTAATGGTCCAGGTCAAATCTGATTACACCAGAGAAAAATTCAAAGAAACGTTTTCGTCATTTTGATAAATGATAGATGCTCTCATTATTATTACCCCCTTTTATTAGTGAATTTGTTGAAGTGACTCACCGGATGATACTTGGTTCACATGCATGATTGAAAAGTGCGAGAGTAGGAAATAATCCAATTCCAATAGATTCGATTAGCTGTGTCCTCTCCTCAGCTCCTTTGCGGGTAAGGTTGTAATCAGAAGTTTTCAGTTGATTTATACCATGTACGTTACAAGCCATCAGCTGGCAATGTCTGAGAATGAGTCGTCCAATGAAAAGTTCTTCATCACGCAGAACTTTGTCATTTGTTTCAAAAGGAAAAAAGTCCGTTTTTTTCAAGATACGGAGCAGGTATACTGTTTCATTATAATATATCTGATCACATTTCGTCTGATCCAGATTTCGATACAAGAATATCATATTATCATAATCATCAGAAAGATAAACTTCTTTTTTAGTTAAACCTCGGTAACACGATTCTAAGTTGCTCAACAGTTTATCTTTTTGCTCAGCAAAAAATTGGAATCCTCTCTGAGTGAGAATTCTCAAGGACATTAACTTATCTATATTGCTGATGAGAGTTGCATAAATTGAACATTCAGTTTTATGGAATGATGTATCTCCTCGTTTCTTACAATCATTGCTACAGAAGACAACGTTTGTGCATGTTGAACAGGGGATGATGAATTCATCAACATATTCAAAACAAACTTGGCAGTGAGTCAAGTTGCGATCCCTGTCTAGCAAAGCCACGTGGGGATCTTCTTTAACGATAAGTGTTCCCACTGAAATATCCTGTTTAGCGACTGCGTGTCTTCCTAAATGATCATCAAATTTTATATCAATCAGTGGACTGGCGGCAGGATACTTCTTACTTCCCTTGAACTTATCAATATCTGGGAACCTTCCTGAAATTAATGCTGAAGTTGTAGCAAGTTGTGCTGTTTTATTTTCTTTGGAATATTCGATAGCTTTAATTTTATTCTGGAGTTCTTCTCCCGTTAAATTGCTATTCTCCATTAATAATTTGAGTGATTCTTCGTAATATATATCGGCCGTTACAAAGTCGCCATGAGCTTCAAAGCACTTTGCTTTTCTCCATAATATTCTATATGTCAATAAACTTGGATATTTTCCAATTTCCTCAAGATAAATTATATCCTTGAAAACTTCGTCATAACGTTTAAGCTCCATGTTGACTGTTGTTCTGTTGCCTAAAAGTATGCAGAGAACTTGTAAGGCTCCGTCTGAAACCAAACATGAACATATTATGATTTTGGCGATAAAAAGTGCTCCCTGTCTTCTCACGAAACAATTAGCCTAAGATGTTCTGGATCACACATTTTTGATATCGTTACAAGTACGGCGCTGTCCACTTACAGTGTGATTATTATGTTTTCCAATTGTGATTCAATATAACACCAGAAAGAAGAATTGGAAACAAAAGAAAGAATAAGAAAACCACTGCGAAAGAAGCAATAAAAAAAGAACGATAGACGTCTCTGTAACAAATGGACCAAAAAACCAAAGAAACTGTTCGCAAAAATCTTATCCATTTTTCAATGGAATTGCTCATTTTAACAATTGTGTTCATGTGGATGGAAAACTATAATATGAAAATAATAAGTTTACTATTTCCACATTCTGTATGAATGATTTCTAATTAGTATGAAATATTCTAATCTCTTTTTCATAGTTTTTTGATAGGTAGAATTGAAATCTCTGGCGGAAAATCAGTCTATTGAAAGCACTTTTTCCACACAAGAATACAAGGTACTGTATCTGGACGCACGTGTCGCTAACCAATTAAGAATCATTAGATGACTAAAACTGTCTATCTTGGTTAGCACCGGGATACAGTATTTTTGAAGAGAAGCTCTCTGGCTTACAGAGACAGGCTTGTCTGGCCATCAATGGAGCCATCAGTACCACGCCGTCAGCGGCCATGGTGATCCTTCTAGAGGCTACCTCCTCTCCACATTTTCTGAAGAGAGAGAGCGGACTGCATACAGACTTGTGCACATTGCCAATTGCACAAATCAATTTAATGTAGAGTACAACAGACCGCTGGTTGACACTGGAAGTCGCAGCATTCTGGAAATGACCTCTGACTTTATGCCTCCAACGGTCAACTACGAACTGCCTTATAAAGTACTGTTCCCGAGTAGAGAGGACTAGATCCTCCGGGAGAAGGAAATATTAAGAGCAGATAGTTGTTGGTTCACATATGGATCAAAAACACCGTCTGGTTCTGGTGCAGGTGTTTTCAGTCGCAGGCCCAGAATAGAGATATCTATTTTCCTAGGAACCTACGCTAGGAGCTACGATCGAAGAGAGCAAAATCCGGGCTAGTATCATCAGTGGTATGTGCGTTTACTGCGAAGACGAAAGTTATATTTCAAAGTCTGTTACTGCGACAATAACGAATCAACGTTCGTTACTGCCGCAGACAAATGTTTGAAAAAAATTATAATAGAATAAGATGAAAGATACAAAAGGTTCGAAATGAAGTCAAAGAAATTTGAAATGAGATGGGGACATTCTGTTGAGAGTGAGAGGAGTGGAAAACGAGTTGGGAAGATACATGATGATGATCACCGTACCGTGCAAACTTATCCTTTACACTTGGAGGCAGTAGCCAACGCGGATATCTGAAAGTTCTGAAACTATATCGGAAAAGAATATTACTTGTTCGATTGATGACCTATTTATTTTGTAAAAATTTATATCTATACGTATGAATGCGAAAGTGACTCACTTAACACTCACTCATTCATCCCTGTTTATCCTCCTAGGAGGCTAAAATTTGGTACCTATATGTATAGTTGCTTCTTAGGTCTTGGATGCGCACTAAGAAAGGATTTTTAAAAAGAGGAGCGTTTATATATGAAAATTACCTTTTCATGAATTATGTGGATTGAAATGACGTTACTGTACAAGTTAACTCATATTTTCAATAAATTGATGGATGTAGCCGTTACTACGTGGTAGAAGATCATAATGAAAAAAGAAATGAAAATGTCTACGTTTTTTACCACTTTCATTTATTTATTTTCAACTTTCTGAAAGGATGAGAGGCCAAAGTGTTCTAGTGAAGTAACTGAACTGCTGTTTTATTGAAGTATAACTGTATAAATTGTATGTTTCAACTATCGAATAAAATTGTTAATCAATATATATGCACGAATCCAATAGAATTCATATGCCAAACCCAATATTTATATTTTTGACTACTGTTTGTCGTTTGAATAATGTCCAATTATATTACTCACATTTTTCACTAATTATTTTTTAAGCCGCTTGAGACCTACGAAATAGTTGAGGAGCAAGTTACTTGTTTCCTTTAGAATTATTACGATGCTATAAAAGTTTGAAGTAAAAGGCAATTTGTGGTAGAGGCAATTTGTACTACAGTTAATTTGAAAAACTATTCTTGAGCTTTAAAGACAAAAAAACTGAAATTTTATGTAGGAAAGTTTCACTCAAAATTGTTTGACTGTTCCCTTCATATGTTTAAGACAAAAAGTCATCACTGTGAAAAAAACACCAACACAAGTGCAACCAAAGATTCCGAACTGAATGCTTATTTTATTCATCCTATACAGAATAGGCATATAACTAACATTCAATAATTGTCAGATAATTTGAAGTTGGCCAAAAATCCTTTGTGATTAAAAATATTGCAGAGAAGGAAATGTTTAGATAATCAACTATAAAATTTATGGACAGATTTATTTATGTTTCGGTTTGTGTGAAATATATTAGTTTCGAATTAGGAAAGAGAGCATACTATTACAGTAATGAAAATTCAAAGAAATTGAATAAACTGTTTTCATCTGAATAGTGTGGGGACCGCTTAGAATCGCTTAGTTGAAATATCATACAGCTTCAGGCTGAGTGTTTCCTTCAGTTTGGGCTTGAGCCATTATAATTCCTTGTTGATTTACGAAAACCTTAGTGGTACTTCTGTCAAAAATGTGTCAATCATAATGACTAAGTAGTTAACGTGCATGTATTTATTGATCTGACGTAGCATCAGACTTGAACCACTTTCATCTGAATTTTGAAATCACTCTTGGAATTTCTATTACGATTGAAATTACTAGAAAACGATGTTTGACGAAAAAAATGTGTTGAAGTCAAATAAAAAATCAACAGGAATACAGCACACTTGATGACGTTCATCAGTTTCTTTATTCATTTTGATTGCCTATATTGTGATCCAATTAAGAATTTCTCACATACTAAAAAAATCGATTATAATGAACGGTCTGCCACACTCATTCATGAAAAAAATAACCGGGCACGACCACTGAAACCACTGTACACGTATTCCTTGTAATGGCCGATGCAGCGCAGGGGGTTGAAAATGAAAACAGGGCCAGATATTTTTCAATAGTTCAAATACAAAAATAATGAGTATATGCCTTGAATGTTTCTTACTGTTTCTGAAAAATAAACAAGGTTAAATCAATAGAGAATCTGCTGAAGTGTGTTGAAGGACAAACTGAAAAGTTCCCCCAAAAAAGTTACTGTGTAAGTAATATAAATCACTGAAGAGTATATTTAGTCAGTGATTTTTATTCATAAATTGTGCATACAAATTGAATAATCAATTGCAAAAATGATATTTCTATACTAAGCTTTCTTTTCCGTTTTCAAAACCCAAAGTTCAATTAAAAACAACTAAATACTCAAATGTAAACAGCTATATTTCTTTTGGCATACTTCACAAAGGCTTAGTGTAGAAATTTATTTTCCTTTTCTCAGTTCAATTTGTAGGTAAAATTCATGAATACAAGTTACTGACTAACTGGACTCTTCAGAGGTTTATATTACACAGTCACTTTTCAGTTTGCCCTTTATTACATTTCATCAGATTATCTACTGATTCAGCTTCGTTTATTTTTAAATTTGAGGAAGGTTACACCTACACCCAAAAAACAGTAGGAAACATTGACACCACAAAAAATGTCTTTCAAATAATGCCTTGTATGGTATTTCGACAAATAGGTTATGAAGAAGAAATTACCAGTATTTTGAGGACAGAATCGCATTCCTCTGTTGTAGTGCTCGAGAGCTCTTCTGTATTCCTTTTTCTTAAAGCACTCATTTCCCATATGTTTCTCGTCCGCTGATACCAACAAATCCTTTCCAATGCCATCTAAAAGAAATAAAGGCCGCTTAATCCTCTTTTCGTAAGTTGTTCTTAAACTCATTTCTTCTTTTGTAACTGGTCTCATATTAGAAGTTCCTGCCTCCGCCATTTTCACCTGCTCACAACAATCAAAGAACTGCTATATACCCTCTAGGTTTTATTTGATTAGTAAATAGATTTCCTTAGTTTTGAGTGACAAACCAACAAACAAAACAATATTGAATTCGCGGGAATTATTTCTGTCCCTCTCTCGTGTGCGCACTATCGCGCGCATTACACGTTGAAAATTATTATCCTATTACGAGCATTTCACGAAAGACGGAAAAAGTTTAACGATTTTACAGATTGCGAGTATGCAAGTTACTGAATGAAACTGATATTAGAAATTGTTCATATTATATCTTATAATGTTATAAATAACTAGCGGATTCAATGTGAGAAATACCTATTTAGAATTTTGTTAGTTGTTCCATTCCAAGATTTGTGAGTTACTCAACGTCCAAATTAACACCAAATTGCCATGTTATTATGTTGAGTTCTGCTACATTTACTTTCATGAAAAAATGTTTCCTGTATTCTTCGTATTAAAACACAATATTTCTGTAACTTCAAGCTAAATTTGTTCTGATTTTTATTACAAAACTTCTGGCAGCTGATATTTCAACATCTAAGGGTGAATTAACAAGGTATATATGTGATGGAATTGGCAGATACCTGATGAAAATCAATCAAGCATTCAAAAAACACTTCATTGTGAGATTTTTGCTAGATAGTTTACAAATACGCAACACGTGTTTCGCTAAAAAATAGCTTCGTCAGGCGTGTTCATGCTGACTGAATTCTACCTAATTAGTGCTCAATATTACAATTTGAATCTCATATGACATTCTACGCACTCAATGGCTGATCATTTCCCCTGAGTTTAGGTATAAATCAATTAATAAGAAAAGAAATTTTACCAGCCTATTAAATAAACAAGTGATAAACTCATTACTAATTTTCACAATAGAAAACAGATTCAAGGGAGAGGAAAAATTCAATTCTATTTGGTCATTCAAAAGAATAATTTTCAGGTATTCGATAAGATTGAGTTTCAAACCTTTCTCTTTCAAATGTTATACGACATCATAGTCGTGGTTGAAATCCTGCCCCTCTGTCGCGAGGTGGTTTGCAAATGTGGTAGGTCTTCACATTCAAGAAATTACTCCTTTGTTCTTTTAGTCTTTGGGAAAAGGTTCTTCCCGCTTGGCCTAGTATAAAATTTTGACAAGAACCGCAAGTCAACTTATATCAATGCGATCTATCCAACACTGAGGGTTTCAATGAATTTGCTCAAATTTTCATTTGTTCTGTAAGACAAAAAAACCACATCCAAGTCATTTTTTTTCAAAAAACGAGCAATGTTATTGGTAGGCTCACCAAAGTATGTTAACGTCCTATGACGCTTATTATCGTTACTTGAATTGATATTGGCCTGGAGAACGTCTTGTTTTGAAACTGATGAAGTAACAAAAATAGAAAATGTTTTTTATGTTGCATTGATTATGGGAATTATAGGAGCTTGTCGTGCAAATGAACAACATTCAATGAAAAAAGGTACTTGAAAGATCTTGGATCGACTATAGTAGGTAGTCACTATATACCCAGCACCAAAACAAAATTAGTTTGGAAGTTTACGATAACAGGGCATTTTTGTCATATTTGTATTGAATATATCAAGCTGCGATAGAGTAATGTATTGTAAGATTAATTTTTCTGATTTAACAGAAAGGTAAATGCACCAGTCAAAGAATTGGAATAGAAAAATTCAAAGCTATGGGTAAACAGATTGCACCATTTTTAAAACTTCCAAATCCAGAACTTTGTACTGAGCATACGTTTCGAAAATCATCTACAACCCTGCTAGTGGATGCATGGAAGGTTGAAGTCAGCAATTGTGTCGGAAGGATATATAGATGATTCGATGAAAAATAAAAATGTTACTGTGGAAAAAATTCGAAATCCGATGAAATAATCGTCTACCAGTACCATCAGTAATGGAAAATGAATGTGGACATGAATATTGTTATGATATCCAACTGTTTGAGTTACATCATTAATTTTATTACCAAAATATGATTTTGTTCATGGAAATTGCTCGAAATATGATTATAGATGGTTTATGTCAATAAAAGGTTTTTATAATGAAATTTAATAATATCACTATTAAATGCTAGAAATCGCACGTTAAATGGTAAGACCTCGTTGATTCTTAGCTCGCACAAGTTCCGACTTCTGAGGCTAAACGGAAAATACATTCTCCAACAAAATCTCATTCGGGATATCCTTCACAACTGAATCTTATTTTAAAATATTCCTGTTATAAGTGATAGAAAAAGTATAGTATTCTACTTGTGAGAAATAGATAATACTCGCTCGAATGATTTCATTCTCACGACTAATGGGCCACATTTCTTGCTCTTTGAATAATATACTATTACAGTATTTCGCGAAGTTCAACTCACATTTTGTAACCTGAAGATGTCAGTGTTTTTCGGTCATCAAGATCGGAATGCAATAAATCATAAGAAAATGGCAACGCCTTTCAAAAAATACTGTCACAGTCAACAAATCAAATTTTTGTGTTTCAAACAATTTTGGATAACTGTTAAATGAATACCTATATTATCAATGGATTCAGAAAATGTGGTCTTCATCCATTAAATCCGGATAATAATTGATCTGGTTACCATACCAGAATACTAACAACAAATTGAAGGAGCTCGAAGCTTCAGGTTAAATGCGAAAGTCAACAGCAAAACTTAAATCACAAAAAGGCTATTAAAACTTACAAAAGAGCATATAATCTAGATTATTAAAAATGATTACACAAAAAATTTATACCACGCCGCCCATGCCGAACAAAGGAACTACTGACGTTCGCTAACTATTTAGTTTTTACGCCATTCGAATTAACTTCGTATATACTATACTGTCTATTGGCAATAGTGTCATGTGGACTCGAAAGTATTAGACAATTTACAGACAGTAGCAGAATTTCACGTGGACACTTGTGCAACACGCCCTGGTTTCCCGGACGAAGCGGTTATTGCATAACGGGAGTTATGTAGTAAGAGGTGACTGGTCTACTGCGCCTTGGAGTCAAAAAATCAAAAAAGAAGAAGAATAACCTCTTTTTGACGTGTTTTAATTCTTTGTTTTGAAGTAGTTTTGAAGTATTGGAAAACATTTTACAAATCAACAGAAAGTAAAATTACCTAATAAAGTGTAGATAGGCATAGTCATGCAAAGTAGCACCTTGGAACAAAACTTGCAGCACCACGTTATCCTGTCTGCGACAAACTATGAAGAGAAATATTATGGAGAATCACTTGAATCATGCCCTTGCAACTGCTATATCAAAGCTGTTATATGGAAGCTTCATTCACCAAAGTATTTTTGAATAGGAACTAGTCAGGACCGTGCAATGACAAGGTATAATAGTAACCAGAATCAGGACTTGTTCCAGAAATGAAAACCCACACAAATTGAATTGATGAATACAAAATATTTGCCTCATGGTATGCTTTATAACTTCACTTGAATATAAGAAAGTACCATCGTATTTAAACATATGAACATCAATAATCCTTGACAAAAGGTAAAACCTAAAACCGAAGGTGGAACCTTCGGGTGAAGCGCTTGTTTTGGATCAATAATCCTTCTTTTCAAAACAAGTTCGTCATATTTTGTGTCATTGATATTTTTCCATATATTTTTGAAAACATTTTTGTTCCAATTATGAATAATGATTTTTTTCTATTGACTATAGGGTGGAAAGGATTCGTTGATTGACTGTTGAGGTGTTTGCATCGTGCTGTCTACCCAGGAGTTTTTGCAACGAAGTTGGATTCAGGTGTGCTCTTTTCCTACTAATTTTTCACATTTTCTCAATCTAAAATTTCATTCTCTATAAACATAAAAGAAAAAACATTATGTTAGTTTGAGCTAATTTATAATCATGAGTGTTCATTCGGGTGGCGGTTCCCTGCCACCCACAAAAAAATCTTATTTGCCGGCTGATAAAAACTTGAATTATGAAGAGGATCAGGAAAATATTACTTTGGACGAACTTAATGATAGGGAAGTTGAGGAAATAATGAGTTTTAGTAACTCAAGGGCAACTCATTCATCAGATAAGGAAACAGAGGACGATTTAACCAAATCTGCTTTATTTCTTGTTGGGTAGATGTGTGCTTTATCAAAGTCGTTTAAAAGCTTTGGATTGCTTTTAATAAACATTATGCTGTCAAGAATTTACTGACTGTATAGGGTCAGTACTTTCTTTTCTATTTTATTTATCTTGTTATATATGAATTTTACGAGTGTGAGGACGATGCTGGATGCAAGTACTCTTGAAGGTCTGGTATCCCAGAGGCTCCGTTAGTAAAACCTAATGAGGCCCAGGTTTCATTCATCCTTCGGTGTGGGTCGCATAACACCACTGGATTAAGCCCCGTTTTCAAGTCACCGCAGGAGGAGGCAGGAGTTACCGAAGACTTCCGACTCCCGGTAATGCAGGAGGTATTCTTCTTTTGCCGTAACGTATTCTTCTTCGCCGGAAGGTATCCTTCTTCTCTGGAAGGTATCCTTCTTCTCCGGAAGGTATCCTTCTTTGTCTGATTTTTCACCTTCGGCCCTTTCAGCTCGGGAAGGCTCATTTCCGATTGAAAATAATTGAAACAGAACTGTAAAATTTTTCCATTCGTGTTTGGCCGCGAAGGTGTGACTTATGGATAATTTTGCCTACTTACCCAATAAGAAACGGTCACGTAATTGACACTTTTTCAAAATACATAGTCATATAAAAAGCTAATTACACGCTGGATGAATTCTTTTATGTAAAAATAGAGAAAAATGAAAATTACGTATTATTCGTATTTTAAATTGTATATTGTCAAATCAATCAAATCAATTTTATTTCTTCAAACAATATAACATAATATTAGAACAGTCAGGTTGGTTAGTTGTTTGGAAGTATTCATTCATGGAGTATAAACATTTATCAACTAAATGAAGTTTAAAATATTTTTTTAATGTATTGTAGAAGTAGAATTGCCCAACATAAATGTGAAATGTAGTATGTAAAATGATCAAATAAAGTACTCTACATCTCGTACACTTTTGAATAATCTAAATTTTCACTGAGAAAATTAATAGAAGTTTGAAAAGCATAAATCAGTAGGGGTTTGAAAAGTATTTCCATCTCTACACTGTGGTGTCAAATATAAATTTTGTAAGTTCAGAAATTTTTTTATTTATTTTTCCAGTGTGTTGATATTACCTTTTGAATCCCTTGAATAGTGCGAAAAAAAAGAATCGACAGAGAAAAACAAACATTTGAAAATACATTTTTTTTCATAATTGTAATTTTGTAGTGCATGTTTAACAAGTTGTTATGTAGAAATGAGGGATTGTTGAGACTTGCAAATTTTTATGCAAAAAACTGCAACATGAAAAACATAAATTAAGCTGCCTAATATCCCTTATCGGGGTTATAGAAGTTACCTCAATGTAGTATTATTAAAATCCAGTAGAAAACTACACCGGGTGTTTTGGTGATTTTTTATTGAGAACTTTTCATACAATACAGATTGAACATTGAATCAGTAAATACAGATTAAACAGGAAATCTAGAATACTACACAAACTACTAATTTCATACTAAAAAATAAAACAACAAGATTTTTGAACAAATAAACGTGAAATATTCTGGATATTAAAAAAACTTTGTGAATATAAGTAACGAATAAACATGAACAAGAAAGCATTTCGGGATCATAAAAGAAGTCACCATTTATTGGGAAAGGGCAACGTTTCCATTTCTAGCAAAAATATGTTCGATCCGTTGCTGAATTTTTATTGTTTCTAGGTCTGGTCGTTTAGTGTGAGCATACTTGAGGTCTAACACAGTTTTATACGCTTTCAATGCGTCATCAAATTTTTGTTCTTGCAACATTTTGTCTCCATAATTACAATAATATTCGATGGGCTGAAAATAAATGCGATTATTTTTTTCAATGCATATAAACCATGTAACAGTTGAAGGCTAGACAGCGTTTACAGAGTTTTAAGGAGATTGAATGTGCTATACCCGTTTAACCAATTGAAGTGAATATAAGCCAGTGCACATATTTCACGTAAATCCTGAAATTTGGATTTTGAAAAAAAATTGTTTGAGTTCATATTATCCTCTTTTTTTCTGTAAATATTCTCAACATATATCACTCGTGCTTTATCGATCGAAATGCATGCATTTCCTGTATAATAATTTGAGATCAAACTCTTTATCATACAATTTTGAGATTTTATCAATTCTTTGTTCAGCAAAATTTCGAAAATTATGGATTTGTGTACATTGTAAGCAATTAAACTTGGTGCACTTGAAATATAACCCTTAATAAATCATGTTGGAATTGAAGAAGTATTACGGTGCCTATTTAAAATTATTATTGAAGAAAGCAAATTTTGATAAAATGATCTGAAAATTAGGAAGCACATCAGTTGAATGGTTCAGTGGAAAAACAATGAGGTTTTATATTTTGTTGAAATTGATATTTCAGTGGCATCTGTTGGATAGTGACATGAAGTATCAACAATACCAATACCAACAATTAAGTTCTACTAAAAATCGGGTTTGAAAATACATTGCACAGCTGAAGAACGATGCACGCCCGAGAAATAAGGTTGAAGTTCATCCTCCTATTTCCAGTCTTTTAGCATTTCAAGTTCACGATTGTCTATTTTTATCACATTGTTCATATCAGCTTCAAAGTTGTACCATTCAATCAAGGCCTACCAGTCCAGATCTTGTTTTATTTATTCATGATTCCAGCCGTGAAAGCTTATGTTATTATATTGAAAGTTGAGATTTCCTCAGAATCTGTTGAAATGGAACCTCGTTTTTCCACTATACCCTTAAATTTTCTGTTAACTGATTTGAAATACGATTTCAGCAGTTCAAAATTAATTGGTTATACACATGGTGATTCGTGATAATACACATGGAAATCCCCACCAACATGTATGACCGCTTGAGGACAAATATCTTCTAATGTTATATTATTCTATATCCTATGAAATATACAGAATACGTCATCATAGCAAGAAACGTTCATTAACATTTTCTTCAGTATCCCTATGAAGTATAAAATTCTAACATAATGAAAATCATAAAAAAATTGCTAAATTTCTCAAATAGGGTATGCGGAAAAAATTATGAAAGTAATAGGAAAATTAAGAAAACTGTTATGACTAAACTTGTGGTTTCAAATGCGATACACAAATAACATTAGAAGAAAAGAGGAGTTGATAACATTAATTACTTTTTGAAACAGATTTTATAGTCATTTTGGAACTGTTCAAATTGAAATGCTCTTCTGAAAATGCCCTCAACATAAAAATTGTAGTTAAATTCAAATTCGTCTTAGAATCTCCAAGTCTTGTACTTTCTGAACAGAGCAATAAGCATCTTCTCAAAATCAAATCCCAAATGCCGAAAAAAACAGCATTGTATAGACATCTACTAGCATGTTCAACAAAAAATATCTTTGAAACAGATCAGTCGTATATTTAACTACACATCACGAATGAAAAGTAAAAACACAGAAGAAACTTACTGCCACAAACAGATTCAAAAAGGATATACTTCTATCAAATAATTGTATAAAGTGCAATGTCAAATGTTTCAATGCGTTAAGAAAAAAAGAGTTTATATTACCTCTGTGATTTCCTTAATATGAGCATTAGTAAGCTCTTTGCGGCAAAGCAAACAACGTCGTGGTCTTCTGGTACGTGTTACAGAAAACACGAAATCACAAGTGGAAGTCTTGCAGGGAACCTTTATAACTGTTTCCAAACTTGAAGCCATAGGCCATCTCTCTAAGCATGGTACGCAAGCACATTTAAAATAAAAGCCATTCTTTAGGGTTTGCTGCCTATCTTGCAATTTCATGAATAAGTAGTTCGGGCCATAATTATCATAAATCATCTCTCCAGCCTTTATTGGCTTTATGGTTCTTACTAACATTCTCGTTTTATCACTGTACCTGTAACATTCAACAAACATTGCATGACGTGCTCAAGAGAGTCGTTCAGTCAAATCTGATTTTGTGAGTTTTTTTTACATATTTTGATATCCAGAATACAATCACAAGCATTTCATAATGAAAGCATTTACTGTTATCAATATACACGATCCTAAAACTGCGCATTTGTCGAAAGCTAGTGTGACGTCACGAGATATGTGCGATTATCGGTACAGCGACTGCTCTGTTATAAAGCACAGCATTTCTTGTTTGAGGTTTGAATAAATACGTGTTCAGTCCAGAAAAGTTTCATCAGAGCAGGCACAACTAATTTATCACAAGTGGACTCATTCATGGTCAAATAATATTTGAATAAGAATGACGGCTGAGTTTTTATCAAATGCAATGATTGAAATCATTCTGTCAATCAATCAATCAAATATACTTTATTGTCTGAAGAACTACATTATTAGATTTTTATTCATTATCATCGTTATTTTGGTATTCAATTTATAATCTTTGAAAAGAATATCACTCTCCATCATTTTCAATAGAAGAGTTTTCCGAAATGCAAGAAGAAACACCAGAAATGCAAAAATATGGTCTTCAATAAAGATATATAGAAATAAATTGTAATCCTATAATTGTTTTTAGTTCATAAGAATGAACTGTTCTATACCATTTAGTAACTCAAAAAATTTGACGATAATTCAGGGGAATAATTTCACTGGCCTAAGTAACAACCTAGGTAGCAGTCATCACACCACTCTCCTCGGCAATCTATGGTATCGATCAGATTAAATAATAATACAATCGTTGGGGGCAGTATTCACACATTTACTCAGGTTACCCTACGCCCTACGATTTTATTATTTTTTATCCAATCAATACCGTAGATAGCTGAGGAAAGTGGTGTGATGACTGCTACCTAGTACCTTCCAATTATTTTTCAGTTTCTAGTACATTATCTATATCTTTTTTTTTTTCAATAACACCATTCAACATCAGTTTTTCACTTATTTTATTCATAAATCGTGTCAATTCGTTTCCCAGCATGTTGAACTTGTTTTATAAGCAAGTACGTAGTAAAAGGTGAAACTAAAATCTCTGACTTAAATGAATCTAAAACAAGCCCTTTTACCAGAAATGCATCAGTTGGCGCCAACTTGGTCGGTGAAATTCGCCAACTTGCACCCTCAAGTTGTCATATTCTTCTGGAAATAATCTGGGTTGCCCATAAATTAATTGCCTTTTGTGATCCAGCTGTTTCATTCCCTTTGATTTATTGACTGCAGTTAGGGTCTCCATCCGTTTTTCTTGGAAAGTCCTTTAAAAAGTTTTCTGCTTGTGTTCCCGGGTATATTTTCTCAGTACTCTTATAGACTTTTCAATCTCCTGTCTCTCATAAAAACATTTTTCTAATAAATAATCCTCTAATGATTTTTTGAACACAGAGAAACTATTCAAGGCCTTTAAATCATGTGGTAGGTGGTTATATATCTTTGGACCAATGTATTCCCGTCCACTTGGTGTTACTTTGAATCCAGTTAAGGACAAATGAAAATGATTCTTGGTTCTAGTATCATGTTGATGAAGTTTCAGATTTGTTGTAAAAGTTTATTTATTTTTGAACACATACAGTTCAAGAGTATAAACTGATGTTAAAGTTAGAACACCATACTCTTTAAAAAGTGCCTTGTATGATTCTCTGTTCGAACAATTTGCTATGAGTTCTTTTTTTGTGCTCTGAAAACATTTTCTACTATGGAAGGTCCACCCAAGAAACAGACACCATACCAAAGTATAGATTCTACTTGAGCATAATATATGTTGTGCAACTGGCTGTTAAAACTGTTTGTAAGTTGATATATTTCAATGAATTAAGTTTTTTAATTAATTGTTATCAGTGGGCTTTCCAGTTGAGAATTCCATTTAGATTGATTCCCAAAAATCTTGTATTGTAATCAGTATTTGTTAGGGTCACATTGTTCACCATAAAATATATGATTTCCACTCTGTTTTCCCAATTGTGAATTTGAATAACTTCTGTTTTGTCTGAATCATTGTTATTGAAGTAATTTGATATCCAGTACCTTTGGTAACTACTGATAATCAATATTTTCATTTTGGAAAACAATTTAAAGGACAATCTGTAATTGAAAAAGTGGATCAAAATTCACCAGTTCTTTCATAAAAGGTTTCAACAAGTAGTTCACAAACAACAAAACATAGGAAACCTGCGTCAGAAGGAGTGCATTATTCATCATATTTATTAGAAACTCTTTCCAAAAACCTGATGAGAGTAGAAGGAACACAAAAATAATGATTATTAGATTTATGACAAACAATTCTTAGCCTACAAAATATTGGACAACCTGTAATCAAAAAAGAGGATTACTATAAACCTGTTTATCATAAAAGTTTTTAGAAATGGAGTAAAAAATACCAGAAACCCAAATACAATAATTGAATTTTTGTTTGGTCTTTACCATTATTATTTTAACCAGTAGTTTGTTTGACCTATAAACTAAAGAAAAACCAGTAATGGAAAGAAGTGGACACAATAAAAATACCAGAAATGTGAATATGAACATTAAAAGTTTATAACTTACACAAACTGAAAACTGGTATGAGACACCCTGTAATAGATAACAGAAGATCATTTTTCATAATTGTCTTACAAAAAATATATAAAAAATGCAANCTGGATAAGTAGCAGTTTTGTTTTGTGTATGCTTTTAACTTTCTCCTCATTCATTAAGGACTTCTGTAACAACAGCTACAAAACTCATAAATTTGTTCATAAAGTAGAATGCCCATTTTATTGTAATCTCTTCAGAATTCTCAAACAAGGATTTATATTTTTCTTGAAACAACAAGCAAATTGTTAAATGTGAACAGTTTTCATCCTTCTGATGAAAACACTTTCCCCAAAACCTGAAATAGGAGTACTTTTACTTGAACCGCATTTCGCTTATTGAGTTACTTGTTTTAAAATAGTCCTCACTTTGATTAGTGAAAGCGATCACTATTATTAATGCAGGTTGGATTACTGCATATTGTAAGATCTTGTTAATCTGTAACTCGTATAAGTTTACTTTTGAGAGCTGTCGTTTGTCTATATAAACGACACCTGTTATTCATATGAATAGTGGCTGGTCAACTGAATAACAGAAGTCGAAGTTCTTTCAAAATGAAGATGAAAGCTCTGAGTAATGATAAACTTTTCATTAGAAAAATTAAGTATATGCATGAGTAGGACTTAGATTGATTAACAGTATCTTGAATTGTACAACTATTTTGCAAACCAATCATCAGGTGATCGTTATTACTCAGTATATTAATTCAGTAATGAAATAGAGTGCGAAAAAGTAATAATAATCCACAAAGAATATCCACCTGGCTAAAACAATAAATATATGTGGCAAGTCTAATTATATTTGGGACTTGCTCAAGTTATTTATGGACTACACTCATTGTAAACTATCACCTGAATGGGAAAAAATGAGAATAATTGTAATTTGTTATCTCCTTATGTATGACATAAATTGGGGATGAATGCGGAATATATTTCTATGTATTGAAGCCGAGTTTGTTTTTCTACCAAGATAACACGAACCATTCACTAAGATAACACAAACCATTCACTTCCGTTTGTGACTATCTGTGTAAAACCAAGTGATCATCTTCAAGAGGAAGATTTATAATCACGGGTGGGTCGCAACAGTACTCATCAAAATGATAATTTAGGCACTTTCAAATATTGGATGACATACATATTTCAATCATTTATGACAAACATATCACATTCCGTCATAAACACTGTTCACTGTTGAAAACAATTTAAATGATGTGATTCAGTATATCTGATTCACTTTTTTCGTACCAGCTGCCAGCCAGAAATGAATATTGCCCCTAACAAATTTACCTTCTAAATTTCCGCATATTCNTTAATAGGCGTCGGACTGGGGGATATATATAATGATTTTGAACTCCTGCAGTCAAGGTAATCATATGAACATTTGTATGTTCTTGATTTTTTAAGATGATTGTTTCCTTCAATGGTTCACCCTATCTTCTCACACAAACGATAACTAGTTTCTTTTCGAAACATCACCTTCCTCGATATGTGAAAATACACTTCGATCCACTACCTTTGAGTCCCACTTCATTAACATCTGATATCTCAGGATTTTTTTCATTCTAGATCAGTTCCTTATTACTTACTACCTATTTTAACAAAAATCTCAACCTATCTTGTTCTTTCTCATAATAACTTACTATTTTTTGCTGTTACCAAAAAATCCAAAATACAGTGCGGGTCCCTTTTATCAAAGCCGGCGCTGCTAGTGTAACGTTAAAATGAATACCAAAAATTCAAACTTTTGTATACAAAACCAATTTTCGCTCCCAACTTTGATGCAGAAAAACAATCGCTCATGTAACTTTCTTTTGCATTTCACTCAGATTTGGGCATTCTGTCTTATGGAAAGGTTTTATGAGTTCTTTCTTGCACTTACAGTATATAGAGAGCGAAAAATTATTGAAGAAGCAATGAATAATGAAATATGTGGATAATTATATGTAAAAAGTAACTATAGAATATTGAGAAAGAGAGTAAAGTAATATTTGAACTTAATTAAATTTTCATTTTTTAAATCGATAATTGGAACAATGAATTGGAATATAATTAATAAGGAATTGTTTCATTTCGAGTCAGTGTAGAAATTCTAAAACATCAAAAATTTATCAGCATAATTTAGCATAACGAAGGAATAGTTTAATATGTGTGATTGATGACTTGTTTACTTTTTGGTAATTCATGGTCACTTGAGGAATAGTTCTTTTTATAAAGTTGAATACTGATTTCCAATCAAGACTTTTTGGGATTAGATTATTTGCTTTCCATTCAGTATTGCGACATTATTTGAGTAATGCTTTTGAGTGATAAAGATGTTATTGAAATATTATACAGTTACTTGAATCTTTTGTCTAATCTGTCACTGATAGAGAACATATTTGTAATTTCGCAAGTTTTCATATTTCCACATTAATAAATCGATTGAAATTGACTAGATTCTTTCATTTCTCAACATCAAGATAAAGTTATCTACTACGGTCAAGTCCGCCTTTTGTTTTTTCATTGCCACAGGTTATCGATATGACCTCTGCGTTATATGATTTTTTTTAAACTGAAGATTAGTCCCTCCTGAATTAGGTCATCCTGAGCCCTCTAATAGACTCACTACATTATTCAGTATGTTCATAAGCATTCCTGGGCTTTTCTTATTTCCTCTCTGGGGGAGGGGTTACGTCCTCTCTGGGTTTCTTTTTAGACCTTTCCACAGAAGTTATTTTCGAGGAGTCTTTGTGCGGTCTCTAGATGGCTTTCCAGTTCACTTCCCTATATCAATTATCCACGGTTTAGTTCATCTGTGCTCCTGACAGTCTTTTGCATTGCAGTCCAACACTTGCCAGTCCTGCAATCACTGTTTTGTATTGTTGTTTGACATCGCTGGTCCGCTTGAGTCTACAGCTCAGTCATATTTTGCGAGAAGCTGCTCGAAGAGCAGTTTTTATTCTTATTCTTATTTATTATTTGTTCAATTACAATGAAGTAAAATGCCCGGATGAGCGTAGAACATGTCAGTGTAATAAATATACAGTTAAAAACATTTAAAAATTGAAATCAATTAAATGTGAGACATTTTAGCAGGTAAAATCTGAAGGGATGGTATCTTTAAAATATTCATCAGTTGAGTAGTATGCTCTATTTAGAAGAAAGTTTTTAAGTTTATTTTTGAGTGTTGTTTTAGAGAGGCTTTTTAGTGCATTTGGAAGTTTGTTATAGATTTTTATTAGAGTATACGGTATATTTTTCTGAATAAAAGTAAAATTAGGAATATTAGTAACCAAATCTGCTTTATTTCTTGTTGGGTAGATGTGTGCTTTATCAAAGTCGTTAAAAAGCTTTGGATTGCTTTTAATAAACATTATGCTGTCAAGAATATACTGACTGTATAGGGTCAGTACTTTCTTTTCTATGAATAAAGGTTTACAGCTATCAGTTTGTTTGGATTTATAAATAATTCTAAGGCAACGTTTTTGAAGTGAAAAAATTTTTTTAACGTTCACAGATGCACCCCAAAAAATTAAGCCGTATTTAAGTCTTGAGTGGACTTGTGCATAATAGACAGACATTGACGCTTGAACATTTATTGTTTTAGTGATGACTCTTAGGGCATAGCAATGCCTTGCAACATTTTCTGACAAAGTATCCAGATGAGATTTCCAATCCAGTCTAAAATCTAGCTCAATTCCCAGGAATTTTGAACTTTTACTAGTTGTTATTGTTGATTTACCATCCGAAAAAGTATAATCATTTTCAGCTGACTGTGAGAATTTGATTGCCTGTGTTTTATTAGGGTTCAGCTTTAGGTGATTTTGTGCAAACCAAGCTTCCAGGGTACTTAAAGCATCGAACACATTTCTTTCCAAGTCATCTCCATTTTGTTCTTCAAGGATAACGGTTGTGTCATCAGCAAATTGTATAGTGTTTAAGTTGTTGTCCATTTGTAGTTCATTGGTATAGAGAATGTACAGCAATGGACCTAGAATTGATCCTTGTGGTACCCCTCTAATTATTGTTAGTTCATCAGACCTTATAACCTCATTTGTGATGTGACATTTTTCGACCACGTACTGTTTTCTATTATATAAGTATGATTCTATCAAGTTAGCTGAGGTTCCCCTGATTCCATAAGCCTCAAGTTTATTTAGCANTACGCCTTACAGTAGGATTTCTGACTGGCCACTGTCAGCTAAGGAAACACCTACATAATATGGGGCTAGTGGACACACCTCTATGCAGGATGTGTGAACAGGAAGATGAGACTGTCAGGCATGTCCTGTGCGAGTGCCCGGAGTTATCGTCAATAAGAGAGTGTGTGTTCGGCGAGTCTTGGCCTACACCTGCCGATATAAAGGAGATGTCTCCCAGCGACCTGTCCTCCTCGGGAGGATGTACAATGGGTCACATGTGGCCTAAGTGCGTGGGCTTACACTCACCCTCCCTACTCTACAGATACAGATACAGATACTGCTGTAGTCTCTCTCATTTCTGAACAGACAATAGGTGTATCTTTGAAAACAACTAGGGGTTCATATGAAGCTCTCATTTAAGCATCTCAGACTTCATTTCTTAAGTATTTTGGTCGTTTTCATTCCTTTATGATAAAATATTGAATAAAAATGGTTTGCCCTGTGATGAGGTCTACAATTTAAGAATAACAAAAAAGAGGTATCTTTATAAGTTACTAAATTCATCTGAATAAATAATCAGTAACCTTGCATTTGTGAATATTAAATTCATAAGAACCTGGTTAAAAAATTTCACTAAACAAAATACCTGCATTTTCCCAACAAAGGACATATATACCAGTACTGACCAAATGTTAGAATCATGAACTATTTTTCATGGCCCAAGAATTGTACTTCTGTTCAACAATTCAGTAGGCGTTATTATCAATATTATTTAAAGAAACTTTTTGTCATCGTGATAAGTGCTAGATGCTCTCAAACCATTCTATTATTGAATTGTTAAAGTGACTCACCTGATGACACTTGGTTCACATGCATGATTGAAAAATGCAAAAGTAGGAAATAATCCAACTCCAATAGATTCGACTAGATGTTTCTTCTCACCAGCATGTTTGCGGACAAGGTTGTAATCATGATATCTCAGTTGAGTTATTTCATGTATATTACAAGCTATCAACTGGCAATGTCTAAGAATGAGGCGCCCAATGAAGAGTTCTCCCTCCTGCAGAACTTTGTCATCTGTTTCAAAAGGAAAAAAGTCTGTTTTTTTCAACATGCGAAGCAAATAGACTGCTGCATTAAGATATAGCTGCTCGCTAGACTTTTGATTAACATGTCGATACAAAAATAACATATTATCATAATCATCAGAACGATAAACTTCTTTTTTTGTTAAACCTCGATTACGCGATTCTAAGTTGCCCAACAATTTATCTTTTTGCTCAGCAAAAAATTCGTATCCTCTCTGAGTAAGAATTCTTAAGGGAATTAACTTATCTAAGTTTCCGACGAGGGTTGGATAAAGAGAACATTCACTTTTATGAAAAGATGCCTCTGCCTGTTTCTTGCAGTCATTGCTACAGAAGACAACATTTGTGCATGTTGAACAAGGGAAAATAAGTTGATCAACATATACAAAACAAACTTGGCAATGAGTCAAACTGCGACCCTTGTCTAGCAAAGCCACGTGGGGATCTTCTTTAACGATAAGGGTCCCTACTGAAATATCTTTTTTAGCTACTGCATGTCTTCCTAAGCGATTATCAAATTTAATATCAACGAATGGACTGACAGCAGGATACTTTTTGCTTCCCTTAAACTTTTCAATGTCTCGAATACTTCCTGTATCGGATGTTGAAGCCGTAGATACTTGTTTCGTTTTATTTTCTTTACAATATTTGAGAGTTTTTATTTTATTCTGGAGTTCTTCTTCTGGTAAATTGTTGTTCTCAGTTAATAATTTGAGAGCTTCATCGTAATATAGGTCTGCGGTTTCAAAATCGCCACGAACTTCATGGCACTTTGCTTTTCTCCATAATATTCTATATTTCATTGAAACAGGATATTTTCCAATTTCCTCAAGATAAGTGATATCCTTTAAAACTTTTTCATAAAGTTCAAGGTCTATGTTGACTGTTGTCCTGTTTCCTATAAGGACACAGAGAACTTGTAAGCCTACGTCTGAAACAAAATTATAAAAATATTATATTTTCGATAAACAAATGCTCCCACTTTTTTTATGAAACAGTTAGTTCAAGATGATCACAAAACTTTGGTATTATTACAAAAATGACAATTACGATCCTGTCCATGTACAGTATGATCACGTTTTCCTATTTTGATTCAAAATGATACCAGAAAGAAGAACAGGAATAAGAAGGAAAGTCAAAGTAAAGGAATTGGAATAATTAGATCAAAGAACAGGAGATGACATCTCTAAAATATAAGAAACAGAAAAAATGTTTTATTCATTTTTCTGTGATATTGTTTTTCCTACAACAATCGTGTACATGTGAATGATAAACTATAAGATAAAAATAGGAAGTTCACTATTTTCGTACTTTTTTTTAACGATTTCAAATTGCTATGAATCATTTCGATATTTTTACCATAGTATATTCTTGATAGATAGAATTGGAACCTCCGGCTCTGGTGTAAAATGAATTGATTGAAAATATTTTTCCCATACCAGAACAAAAATACGGTCTCTTGACGCGCGTTTCGCTAGCTAAGTTAGCATAATCCGGAGATGACAAACTGCCAGCCCTTGCTCAAGGGTTAACACAAAGTATTTTAAAAAATATATTTTTAGTCATAATCACTAATAATAATTTATTGAACTATCTTATAAATCCAGTAATTTGTTTTCTTTATGAAAAGCACCAAGTTGAAGAAATGCCATAATAGATCTCACAAGATAAGAAACAATATATTTTCGCTAAAAAAACACTAATGATTCTTTAAAAAGGGTGAAGCCTAAGATTTTTAGAGCTCCAGCTCTCAAATCAATAATTTAAGATGTGAAACAACATCTTTGTAGCCGTTACTACGTGGTAGGAAATCATAATGAAGAAAAGATAATTGAACCTTTCTATTTTATAAACCACTTGATTGCAGTAACTGACATTACTGCAGTTTCGTCCTATAAGGACATTTTCAAACTTACACAATTAATGTATAAGTTTGAAAATGTCCTCATTGGATGAAACTTCAGTAACGTTAGTTACAAATAAAAGTGGTTAAAAAAATTCTCAATTCTCTTTTTTTTATCAAGTTATTATTCTTTAATTTTGATTCATACTATATTTATTATGAGAAAAAGTGACTTTGACCTACCAATTCAAAAAGAAATGAGCAAAAGTACAACAAGTAAAACAAAACATTTTGATGAAACTGAGAGGAGTTGAGAATGAGTAGTTAACTGCCAAAAATGAGTTCTTCGCTAGGAAGACTCGACAAACTATCACTGGTCTGGATTCCTGACCACAATGGCTCCCTTGGGGGTAACTGCAAGCATTTCATCAGACCAGAACTTGTCATTCGCATTGCATCAGGATTTAACAAACAAACGCTGAACACCAGGATTGCAAGGAAAATTTCAGACTTCTATCATCATTGGTCCATTCCAAGACATTTATGCATCTTTCAAAGTATGTTAACAAGCGATTGTTAGAATACAGCAGAGATGACCTACATTGTCTAACAAACCTACTGACAAGTCACTGTCATTTGAATCATCATATGCAGATACTTGGATTGTCTGAAGACAGTGCGTAAAAAATGATGAATCAGCAGAACACTTATTTGTGCCTGCTCCGCTGCGGACCGAATTAGCTTTTCAGAGTGTGGCAGTTTCACTTTTACCACCTGATCTGAAATTACTCACCATATAAGCTACTCAGCTTTGTCAAGAAGCTGGGTTCATTTAGCCGGAGCACAATAAACCTTTGCAGGTTATAAATAAGTTGGAGTTTGACAAAGACTAGAAACAGAACCTATTTTTGGGCAGTCCAGTAGAATTGAGGTGGTACTGGAATTTTTGCAAAGCTTCACTTTGCAAATGTAATCCCAGAGGAGATGAAAAGATTTTCACTTGGTGACAAGAAAATGAATGAATTGGTCTGCCGTAGTAACTCCACGGAGCAGGCCACTAGTCATCTACGTAGATAGACTGGCTTCATATAAGGCTGACTTGATAAGCAATAAGAAGGTGAAATTGATTTGGTAAAATAATTGAATTATTCGAATTTACTGTACAAATACCTATAACTTACATTTTTGAACTTCTGAAGGAATGAGAGGGGCTATGTTATAAATGTTTACGTATCCTGGTTCGAGACAATAGTAGAAAAGATGTAAAAGCGTCTATCAGGGCGAAAGTGTTCTAGTGAAATAATAAATGACAAAAAACAAAGAGATTGAAGGACCTAATCAGGAATATAGTCGATACTAACTATTATAGGAAGAAGGAATTCACAAAATACTTTATTGTGAGATTTGCACTACACGGTTTCACAAAAATGTTGTGTTTTTGTAAAACTGTGTAGTGAAAATTTAACAAAGTGTTTCTTCAATACGTTATGGATTTTCATCAAGTATCTGCCGATTCCATCACATATATATATAGGAAGAAATATGGAACACGATTGCAAAAACAATAGATTCTTCAGATTAACATTCTGAATTTAATCAGTTAATGATCACAATACTATCAAATCTCACTTGTAATGCAAAATGTTTATCTTTCAATAGTTGCAATATTATTTGTAATGAAAAAACTTGAATACTTTGGAATGAAGAGTAGTATTAATGTAGCAACTAGTTGCAGTGAAATAAACAACATATATTTTTGTGTTACTTGCCTATATGTCTCTATTTAATATTTTGTCTATAATTTTCTCTATTTTAGAAAATGATGACACTTCACTAGAAAGCGAAATAATCTACAGGAACAAAGACTGAAAATGTTAATTCCATAACAAGACAAAAAATGGAATACAATTGCAAAAATAATAGAATCTTCAGATTAACATTCTTAATTGAACAATGTAATACAATACAATCAAATCTGATAGCCAGCTATATCGCCAGATCTCTCACCATCACATTTCTTTTTCAAAAGCCTAACTAAGTATTTTTTATCATTCCTTCAAATCCCTAAAAACTACGACAAACTATTTGTTAGGGAAAGCTGATTGCTGATTTTAGTCAACTTCTATAATATAAGAGGTTTTGAAAATTTTATTATATTAGACAATGGAAGTCCGAACTGATGAAATACACCACGAAACATTGTCAACCATCTTCAAACAAAGGTAATTTTTCTTCGACATCGTATTTCAAGAACCAGTGAACAAATTTACAAAGGTAATAGAAACCCAAAAGACAAGAAAATTTCCAAATGATTTACTACTTGACTCCTCGTTCCATTGAAAACCGTGTGGGGGTAACTATTGCTTGCAATGGGGTGAAGTTTTTAGTAAGAATTTCAAACAAAAATTGGTGTGTTTTTGAAAATTTTTGAACGCATATCCATTTTTAGATTACAAGGTGGGTAAAGTTTTGGAATGCTATATAGAATAGAGCGGGTACTTAATAATAAAAAAATTATCTGCTTCTCTTCCAATGTTTCACCAGTATATTTTCAACTTCTTCAAAAATACCCTTAGAACGTTAGCAAAGAAATGGATTGTTTCATAGTCCCCACTATATCTACTTAAAAAATATAATGTGATATTGGAAAATATTGAAATGGAACTGGAAGATATTGTTAGTAGTGGAAGTAGAATTGGAACCTCTAACGTAGTATGAATCCATCAAAAACATTTCTTCAAAATTTTCTTCGTCCTCACCTACTGACAAAGGATGAATTGGAAAGTTTGACTTACTCCAAAATATTTTCGATGCCAAATATGACAATACCAAAAATGCGTTCACGAAGACAACTTTATAGTCCTCATAAATATCCAGAAAACTATGTGTGATTTAATCCAAGATGTGATATGATATTTTGGATCTCAATGTTTTTTTAATAATACAATTCATAAATGAGTTTCCTTCAAATACAGCTCATGTAATACTTGTATGTAGCACTTCTCAGAGGACCAAACCTGGAAAGTTAATCGACAGAGGAAAACTCTACGGTAGAACAAACAACTAATATTACTAAGGATTATATGGACCCGTAACTTGTCAATATCCAGTATTATATTTTTGTTGCATCGTAAAATTTCTTTCAACCACCACTTCTTGAAGAATATATTGATTAAAGCCTGCTAAAGTCTACAGTACATAGTACAGTGGTTAAGACAAGGTAATCTTGGAATAATTTTTGAACCATAATCCTACCTACCTGATTCAATATTGAAATAGCAAAATCTTAACGATTTGTATATGAAGTATATAAATTTTGAATGTAGGTATTTTCGTTGCTGGTTACGACACAAGTTCAGCTTATGGGAGCCACAACCTTTGTTACTTTGTTACTTTTTATTGAATTTTATTGTTATCAATATTTTACCACTTTAAAGACTGATTGCGAGTTCATAAATAAAAATCTTGATCTAAATAACTCATCAGAAAGGCTCAAGAAGATATTTTAGAATGACCATCATAATTTATATATAAAAATCTGTAATGGGCCATTGAACCCAACTTTGTACTGGTATAGCTTTTCCGTCAATGTTACCAAAAAACTAGTGGAGTAAAGTGATAATAATATTCAGAATAAAAGTAAAAAACATAAAGGTGAATAATTTCAATGATGAATGAAATAACTAACAATATTCCTAGAGATTTTTAACCAACACCAATGTTTCATTTTTTGACTACTCTGAATTTTGAATGCTGCCCTGAATATTTTCAAAGCTTGGGAATAGTTGAATTGCAAAATAATCGTTATATTCCTTACATTTTTTACCTGTTACTTTATAAGTTTAAGACTCACAAAGTAGTCCTTGAATATATGGCAAAAGAATCACAAAATGTAGGAGTAGGTAACTTAAAACATTATTAGAATGCTTTGATAGTTCGATATAAAAGGCAATTCCTGCAAAATAATTCAAAAACAGTTTTTAAGCCCTAAATACAAAAAGAGAAACCTGAAATTTCATGTAGAAAACTTGCTAGTAGCATTAATGTGTTCAACAAATTTTTAAATTGGCTCTTTTCAACATGTATTGATGAAGATTTATCGTTTCTGCCATATGTTTAGGCCAAAAACTCATCACCCCTTAAAAAACACAGGTGAAACATATAATTCCAAACTGATGCTTCTTTTAGTCACCTCACATACATTTCATCAAAATGAAAAGAAAAATATACATTTTACGGATTAGAAAAAAAAATTACCGGTATTTTGAGGACAGAACCGTATTCCTATATTGTAATGCTTGAGAGCGTTTCCATATTCCTTTTTCAGGTAACTTGCATTTCCAATGTGCCCCTCCTCCATTGATATCGTCAAATCCTTTTCAATATTATCTAAAAGAAATAAAGGCCGCTGTATCCTTTTTTCGTAAGTTGTTCTAAAACTTATTTCTTCCTTCAAAACTCGTCTCATTTTAGGAGTTCCTGCCTCTGCCATTTTCACCTACTCACAACTATCCAAGAACTGCATACAAAGAAGATTTTTACAGATTGAATTCCTAGCACCCTCTAGATTTCAGTCTGAATGTTTCCAGCAAGCCAATTGTTAAATATCATAATTTAAAATGTTATAATTTTCATAATTTATAATTGGCCAATAGAATGTAGTCTTATTGTGAGAAATACCTATTTAGAATCTGTTACCTAAAATCAAATTAATCTATGGGTCAGAAGAATTGCTTGTCCTGAAATTATTATTATGTTGGGTTCTGCTATATTTACTTAAAAATTGACTCTTGTATTCTTAGTATTGAAACTCATCGTTTCTGTAACATCAAGCTAAAATGTTTTCCAGACCTGTGTTATAAAACTTCTTGTCTAAGGAAATATGTACTGTAAATATGTAAATTTTTAAATTTCTGATTCAAGATGAATTAACTTACTGAAATGCACACTACATTCAGTAAGATATGTCATTTTCTAAGAAGGAACAGAGTTAAAATAGTTAAGGTTTTCGTAGCCGAGGTTTTCAGTGTCACTAATTTCCGGGATTACTGACATTTCGGTGGCGCGAGTGGCTAGCTTCCTCAGAGGTTTATACATCCTGAGTTAATATTTTCGATAACTGTCAGCCATTGGAGATATTTGAAACCACATTTTCTAATAATGATAATTTTCTAATCTTTATAGTGAATAGTGAGTTAGAATCTTGGTATCCATCATTAAAATATTTCAGATATATCTTACACATAATGCATCTGTAAATTCATTTACATCCAGCTTTCTCAGTGATCATTTATTACAAGTAAGTAGTCACTGGTCGCTCCCTTTTGGATACTTTCACCATAAACGCTGGCATCCCCCATCTATATATGATTAACCTATATCGCCTTCAATCTGTTTTATATTGCACATCAATTACTTATTGAGAAAGATCAGAAATCCAATATATTTTTTTCTGGTGATAACACTATTGCTCTAACTTTTTCAATTTACCTTTGAAAAACGATCTGGAAAATGTTTTAGCTTGATGTTACAGAAAAATTGAGTTTTCAATATCAAGAATACAATGATATTTTTTTAAGAAAAAAAATGTAGCAGAACCCAATATAATTACAGGACAAGAAATTTTTCTAG